TAGCCCAGGCTGGCCTCGAACTCACAGAGATCCGCCTGGCTCTGCCTCCCGAGTGCTGGGATTAAAGGCGTGCGCCACCACTGCCCGGCCTAACAGTGTGTATTCTTAATGACCAATCCAGCCCCCTTAAGGTAATCCTTGAGAGAAGCCACTTAGTTTCCTTTCCACGGTGACCTGTGGTAGCTCGGGATGCATGAGTGATGAGCACAGTGTGGTACCATGGCCGTGATCTGTTCTAGACTTCTACAGGTTTACACAACACTGGCTTTGTGCCATCTGTGCACATGTGGGTTCAGTAAAAAAAAAAAAAAAGCAACACCCTAGTGTTCGCTGCGGACTAAATATTTGTGTCCCCTCAAAATTCAGATGTTGCAAACTGAATCTCCGATGCCATGATGTTCAGAGTTAACAGCTTGGCAGGGACATCTGATTATGAGGGTGGCGACTTCATAAACGGAATTAGTGCATTCATTAAAAAGGCAAGAAAAGAGGCCTCAGAAAACTGCCTCCCCCTTCCACTGCATGAAGATACTCCACCGAGAAGATGCCATCTGCAAACCAGAAAACAGGGCTTCTCCAGACTCCCAGCATCTAGAATTGTCAGAAGTCAGTGTACACGGTGAGAAGCTCCCCCAGACTAGAGCAGTCTCAACACACAAACACTTTGTATCATGAAAATAGTTTTCAATGGGAACATCCTCTAAAGAAGGCTGTGGAAACTCCCCAGAACCCTACAAGCAGACTCTAAAGAACCGGCACAGACCTCGCTGAATTTCCACTCCACTGGTCCCGATTTCTCCACGACCACCACCTCCCAGCACTTCTGTAACCACAGTGCCAACACTGGCATCCATCCTACCACACACTTGCACCTGGGACTTTTCGCACGGAAAATCTTGTCCGTTCAGGAGCTTTTCTGCCTAGTCAAATGTCGTGCTATCCATGCTGCTTTGCAATGTGCCATTCCCACAGCCCTTTTATTTGTCTTTTGAGGGACGGGGTTTGCCTAGTCTGGACTGGTCTCCACCTTAGTCCGTTAGTATAGGATCACAGGTGTGCCTCCAGGCCACTCAGCTAAAACATTTCTCTCTCCTTTGGGATCTACAAGTTGATGAAAACAAATGAAGTCATTTAAATTTTTTTCCTCCATTTTTATTTTATGCATATGGGTGTTTTGCCTGCATGTAAGTCTGCACCGTGTACATGTGGTACTCAAGGAGGCCAGAAGCGGCCGTCAGGTCCTTGGAGTCAGATGGATGTGAGCCACCATGGGGGTGCCAGGAATCTAACTCTTGTCCTCTGGAAGAGCAGCCGGCTCTCTTAACCACTGGACCACCTCTCCAGCCCTGTGAAGTTATTTTTTAAACTTCCTAGTAATCCATAGGACTCATTACCTTATCCATTCTCCCACCCAAGGAAAGTTTCTTCATTTCTTTTTAAGTTCCGGCTTTACTATTTGAGGTGCACCTTTAAGGAGTGCCCTTTTGAGCTGCACAGTGACGTGCTCCGTAGATAAGACATCACCTGTAATGTGAAGGTGAAACACAAATAACACAATCCACGGCATCTCAGGGACAAGGTGACATGCACCAGAGTGAGCCTCACACTCGGCAGGGACGGCATAGGCTGCCCAGGGTCTCTGGTGTCCGGTTTCCCTCTCACGAGTCTTGGCAAGGCTTCAGGGCCCTGTGGAGGCATGAAAAGACATCATTCTTGAAGTTTCAGATGAAACATGCTCTTTATTTTGCTCCAGACAAGGCCCTCCCCTTTTCTGGAGCCAAGCGGTACACAGAGTGTCCTTGTTCCCCTCCAGTAAGGCTCAGGTGAAATTTCTTTTTCCATCCCATGCCCACAGCACAGTGAAGTGGTCAGCCTTCAGCAGTTCTGACGTGGTGCCGTGCTGTGCCCGACAAACAAGCCTTCTTTGGTAATCACCTCACCCGCCAGCATTTTGGTCACAATGGGCACATGTAGTAGAGTTACTGCATGTCTTTCTTAGATAGTTGTTAACTCGGATGTGGTCTAGGGAGGCCTCTCAGCTGTTGGCAGAGTGCTTCTCTTGCAAGTGCAAAGACTTGAGTCTAGTCACTGGACTCCACATAAAAAAATGGCAAGCACACTGACAGGACTTTGTAATCTCACCACTGGCAACGTGCAGAGAGAGAGCACAGCTTTCCTGGGGAGTTCCAAGCCAGCAAGAGACCCTGTCCCCCCCCCCAAAAAAAACAACAAAAAACCAAGTGGATAGACCGAGGGAAACAACACCCGAATTTGTCCTCTGGCCTACACATGCCCACATGTACACATGCACACACCCTTTTGCGCTCCGTGCACAGGCACGTACACAAACATGCACACACACATATATGTACACACACAAGAACAGTAGGAGGGTGGTTTCAGGTTGTCACTGAAGTTCAGAGACAGGCCACGAGCTCTGGAGGGGCTCTGAGATAAATGGGACACACTGTACTGCCGCTCCTGCCACTCAGTAGTGGTATGACACCGAGCAGGTCGATTAGGGTCTGCACACATTCATTTGTGTGGATTTTCTGCCAGTTTCTGATGCAGAGCTGTGAGCACCACCCGAGACCATCTGTGCAAAGTGGCGGTCATTAGTGTGAGTGAAAGGATGAGCGTCGCTGGTGGGTCGGCAGGCGGAAAAGTTACGAGCCACGGCTACAACTCCCAGAGTTAGAAAGAGCTTTATCAGAAAGAAACCGGGCCTGGAGAGACAGAAAGATGGCGGGAGCAGAGCAGAGAGGAAACAAAAAAGAGAGAGGTCCATGTGCGGCTTTTTAAGGCAAAGATTGCGTGACCACACAGTCACCTCACCCCCCCCACACACACACACACATGATGTAAGACATTAGATCCCGAAGAGTGAGAGCAGGGATCCTAGCAGTGAGCACACTAAACAACAGCTGTGGGTACTTGTGTGTCCACCACAAAAGCTATGCCACAAAGTCCTAGTGGATTATTTTATCAGAATTCTATTCTAAGGAAGTTTGTACTCCTTAGCTCCTTGTTTCCCCTCGGTTTGCATACAACTGAACTGTTCACAGACCTCCTTCACTCCACACGGCACACAACCAGTCTTTCTGAAGTAGCCACAGCAAGCATCGAGGCCACGGGCTTGATTTCGTTTAAATGCAATACCAAGAGTGGAAAAGCCTAAGGAGACAGAAAGTGGATTCGTGGTTCTGGGGGCCGGGAGGGAGGAGAAGGGACAGTGACTGTTAATGGACATGTAGGATTGTTTGTTTGTCTGTTTGTTTGTGGGAGTGGGAGATGGGAGCGGGAATGCTGGAACACCCTGGATTTGGTTCATTAAACAACCTAGTGATTAAACAACGTAGGTGCTAAATGCCCCTCCGCGGTGCTCTCTGAAGGTGAATTTTCTAGCATGTAACTTACATCTCAATTTTAAGAGTGTTAAAGGCTCAGCTGTTAAAGGCAAAGGCTCATAACCAAACATTAAAAGTTCAGTACCCAGCACCCACATCAAAGTCTACCCCTCAGCTTCCCTTTGGGGGCTGGAGAGACGGCTCAGGAGTTAAGAGAAATGTCTGCTCTTGTGGAGAACCTGGGTTCGGTTCCCAGGGCCCACATCGACAGACAACCTTCTATAACTCCAACTCCAGGGCTCCAGTGACACTCTCTTCTGACTTCTGTGAGCACCAGGCATGCACACGGCGCACAGACGTACTGGCAGGCACAACACCCGTACACATAAAATAACATGAATAAATTTTCTTCTAAAACAAATTTTAAGAGTATGACACACTGGTCAGCATGGTGGCACACATCTTTAATCCCAGCACTTGGGAAGCAGAGGCAGACAGATGTCTCCGAGTTTGAGGCCAGCCTGGTCTACAGAGTGAGTTCTAGGACAGCCAGGGCTACACAGAGAAACCCTTTCTCAAAAGACGACAACAACAAAACAAACAAACGGAGTATGACAAACTGAGAGCCACAGGTGGCCATTTTCAAACCCGGTGGAAACTTCCAGCACGCAATAACCACACCAAAGAGTGTGTACTTGGGAAAATGTGAAACATATTCAAATCATGCTTTCCAACCTATGACTTCCAGAATGTGAACATCTTATATTAATGTCTCTAAAAATTGTCTTCCTTTCCTGTAACATGAGAGCATTGTCTAAGTTGCAGGGCTGTTCAGGCACGAAATGAGACCCTAAGAGCAAACTAGTGTGCTGGCATGGTCCCACCCTTTTAATGGGTCCCATTGGCTAACTGATATCACCATTTATTATTGTCGTTGCTATTGTTTTCCTGTCCATTCATTTCAATAGGTTTTTTATTTGACATTTACAGTACAGAGATATTAAGTGTCTCCTGTTTTTGTGAAGGTATCCTTAGAGAATTCTCTAGAATATATGGCTGGAAGGAAATCTGGTTTTAGAATACTGAGATGTCTGCTGTGCCTCGTCCGTGGAACAGGTAAGCAGCAGTCAAGCTTGTGCTAGGAATTTCTTCAAACTGATCCAGTCGCTGCAGAACTGCTTGCTCAGGGCACCCTCTTGTGGTAGCTTGAAGCAACTGCTTCTGCTCGGCCAGTACCTGACATTACAGTTCAAGGTGCCAGCCTCAGAGTCCAGCACAGTATGCCTCGCTAGAAACTGAGACATGGAATTCCACACCCTAATCAGAATCCGCAGAACCTGCTCCCCGGTGACTTGTCTGTGTGCTAAGTTTGAGAAATTCTGGATGAGAGATGGGGAGCATGCCATCTGTGATGCAGAATCATTTCTTGGGTGTCTGAACTGGAAACACTGCTATAAGTATCATCCTTTCCGTAAAGAGTTGTTTACTTAAAGCTTTATAATAGATGAATCTCTCACTTTTAAGAGATTTATTTTATGCCCCTTACACTGTGACTTTGCAAAGATGGATGTTTCTGCTGTGGTCCTGGTATGAGTTTGCTCTTCGATGGACAGAAAGACGTCGTAGCAATCGAGAGACAACAATCTCAGGCTCATTTTTCACTGGTACTGAGAGATGTCAAGAATCGAGCTCACCTCCAGTATCCTAGAACCACTGTCTGCACGATTGTATTTGGATGTTTTTAGCATTAATTTTGTTCCAACACTGGAAATTGAAACCATTTTCCTATATTTCATTGTATTCGCTTTTTATGTCCTTCCAAAAACACGCACAAACCGTGCTTTCATTGTTAGCCTCCAAGGTTTTTAATAAAAATATTTTTTGTACTGACTTTAAAAATAAATAAAAAATTGATTTTATGATAAGTGAATTATATCTCGATTTTTAAAAACCAAAGAGGGAGCATAACAAGTTAAGAATCTTAAGCCACTGCTCTAAATCAAACAGAAAAATTCCACGGACTGTCTGTAATCCCAGCAGTCGGGAGGCTGAAGGAGGAGAATCTGAAGTTCAAGGCCAAGCTGGGTAACACAGTGAGCCCCTCCCTAAAGAAGAGAGGAGGTGTGGTCAGGGAGGGGAGTGGCAAAAGAGGACCAACTCCACAAAACTGTCCTCTGGCCTTCACGTGTGTACCCTGGCATACACACACACACACACACACACACACACACACACACACATACACACACACACACGCACACATGCACGCACGCACGCACGTGCATGCACGCAATGATAAATAAATTTTAAAGACAGGATAAATAGATGAATATACATGAATTTCAAAATTCTTCTTTCAGCAATTGTTAAAATATGTAAATAAAATCAGTGAGGGTATAGAAGACTGGATAATATCATCAACCAATTTTGGTAGGCCAGATGGGTCAGTGGGTAAAGGCACCAAGCCAAAGAATGTGAATTCAATTCCTGGGACTCACATGTTAGAAAGAGAAAGCCAACTCCCACAAGTTGTCCTCTGCCCTACACGTGAGCATGCTCACGCACACACACACTAAATAAACTGTAAAAATAAAGATTCAACCAATTTGACCTTGTATTTCTAGAACACTTAGTACAGCAACAGCAAATGTACGTTTTTTTCAAGTTCACGTGGTATGTTCAACAACATACAACATGCTTAATGTCCCCAATGGCTTGTGCCCAAACCCTTGATCCCCAGCCCATTCTGCTACTAAGAAGTTGTGGAACCTTTAGGAGACAGGGCCTAGCAGGAGAACATCAGGCCATTGGGAGATGTCTGGGTCCTCACCCCTTGTCACTCCTCCAATTTCAACAGGCTGTGTTTTGATTTTCATTCCGCAAAAAAAAAAAAAACTATTTTATACTTTTCCTTGTTCTCCTTGGACTCGTGATTGGGTTAAAAATATGTTGTGTCATTTCCAAGTACTTAGAGATTTCTCATTTTGTTTATTATTATTGATTTCTAATTTAACCCCACCATTGTCAGACATAATGCTCTGCAGCATTTAGATATTTTGATTACGTCTTTTGACATCTGAGATTAGCTCAGCTTGAGTCGGCTTTCCCATTGCTGTGACAAAAACAACAACAACAACAACAACAACAAAACCACCTGCAGTAAAGCACTCAGCAGGAGTGCCATGATGTGGCAGGGGAGGCCCATTCACTACATCACACCCAGGGGGTGAAAAGAGGCAGGGGCTGGTGAGGGGCTCAGCCAGCAAAGGTACTTGTTGCTGAGTATGATGATCCAAATTGGATCCCCAGAGCCACACGGTGCAAAGAAAGAACTGATTCCTGCAGATTGTCTTCTGACACCAACACACACACACACACACACACACACACACACACACACACACACTTGATGTAATAAAAAAAATATAGTCTTCTGGGGGAAAAAAAGAGGACAAGTTTGTCTCTCTATTTTTATAAAAGTCTAACAAGAGGAGTCCAGCCCCTACATGTTGCTGGAGGGCTTCTCTCCAGGTCCCACCAAGCCCCACAGTCTCACAATCCACGTATAAAATAATCACTCAGACACTTATATTACTTATAAACTGTATGGCTGTGGCAGGCTTCTTGCTAACTGTTCTTATATCTTAAATTAACCCATTTCTATAAATCTATACCTTGCCACGTGGCTCATGGCTTACTGGCGTCTTTACATGTTGCTTGTCCTGGTGGTGGCTGCAGTGTCTCTCCCTCCTTCTTCCTGTTCCCCCAATTCTCCTCCCTCCTTGTCCCGCCTATACTTCCTGCCTGGTCACTGGCCATCAGTGTTTTATTCATATAGAGCGATATCCACAGCACTGATATTGGTGAAATTATTAAGGCCACTCCACTTAGTTAAAAGGAAGATTTATTAAGTGGGCAACTTACAAAAAGGGATAGGTAAGTTGCGGGGGTCTGGGGAAGGTGTATCACAATCCAGAGGTATTCTCTGGAGCTCTGCTCGGTCAACCTCCACCGTTCAGGGTCCCGGCACAGAGAGAGCGCTTGCCCATCCCACTCTCAGGTCTCCAGGCATCTCCCCTGGCCCTGCCTAGGCGTGACAGTTGCCAGAGTCTCAGTGGGGGTTGGAACTTCCAGATCCAAGCTGGAATGGCTACCCACTACACCTACAACACCCCAAATGTACAGAAATAAACCTAGTATCTACTATTGACACCCCAGCTGCTCCCACGCAGCTGCTATGGCCCAAGCCGGAGCCCAGAGTAACTTTCTTCCTGACGGTCTATGACCAGTGGCAGTGTCTGGAGGCAATCCAGTTGTGCCACAGCTGTCATTTCTCCAGGGACAGACAGAGGGCTTTGTTAAAGCTGACATGCCCCACAGGCTAGCAGGAAATGGCAGGGGCTTGTACACAGGACTCCCCAGAGTGGGGCTTCTGAGCAGGAAGGGGTCTAGCAACCCCAAGAACCAGGTAGAAAGAAGCAGCTGGGAGCCTGCGGGGATCCCCCAGTGACTCGTGGAACAGATCCCACAATGCTTTTAGTCACTATGCTGAACACCAAAAGCACAAGGCAAGAGACCAGCCAGATCTTTATGCTTCTGGGGACTAGACAGGAGGAATGAGAAATAGTAAGATTATTCATGCTAATTTTGATCCCCCTTTAAAAGTGTGTGTGTGTGTGTGTGTGTGTGTGTGTGTGTGTGTGTGTGTTTGTGTGTATTCATGTATGTATGTATCAGAAAGCACATGTGTGGATCCCTAAGACTAAGAGTGGGTAGAAAAGTGATTAAGGACACAGAGAATATTTTAGGATGCTAAAAACAGTCCTTAAATTAATCATATAGATTACATAAAGATGGAAGAAAATGTTAAGTGTGTCAAAAACCACCAAATGCTTGTGCAAATTTATGGGCTTTCGTGTATGTTATACTTCAATTATTTATTTATCACAAAAGTGTATCCTTAGGGGTTTTTAATGAAAACATTTCCCTTGGAGGGTCCTACAGTTGCTGTCAGTTGGCACCGGACCATAGAATGTTCTGGGGTCACCTGTGATGTCAGAGAAGCCCGTTGGTTGGGCTCTGGTGACAGTTTAACTCCTGAACGGTCATACTGGTGGCAGAGGCACAGAGCAGTGCCTCTAGGTTGCTGCTTCAGGGGATGTGTCCCTGAGCATCTGGGGAGAGGAGAGGCTGTGCTGACTGTTTTGTTTGGGGGCTCTTCCCGGCCCCTAGAAAAGCTAGATGTGCCTACCTGAAAGGAGGACGGAGTAGAGGACACTCTTCCAGAAGCGGCCTGGTGCAGACAGGTGAGAGGAGCCTTGGGTAAGAATGCAGCCTCTCAGGGGAAGATGGTCTGTGCTGCTAGCTAAAGCCAGCTAGGAGTAAGAACCCAGGCCTCACAGGGAGGAAAAGGCCCGGGGCACAGGAGAGGCTTATGGGTTTAGTGTCCTTCCTGTGGGAACCAAGCGCCTGGAGAAGACAGGCCCTCCCATAGCCACCACCTGTTTAGGGCCCATTTTCCAATGGCCACAGGAGATTGGGAAACTGGCCTCAGCATCAACTTCACTCCCCCAAACCCCTTTTTCTAAGAAGGAAAGGAGGTCCTGGGAATTGAAATCCAGCTGCTGAAGAATTTCCAAAGAAACCTGGAGTTCAAATTTCTCTCTCCCACTTATTAACCAGATGGGTGTCAACAAGGGCCTTACGCTTGCTAGGCCTCCATTTCTTTCTCTGTTGATAGGTTCAACAGCCCCGAGGGTGCAGAAGATGGTCCTACAACCTTACGGATGTTCTCTGAGTGCGCGCTGTACCGTCAGACCTAATTTTGGTCTTTGATTTTGAGAAAGCACATTTCAGTGTGCATTCTGGCCTCTCGTTTTTTTTATTTGTTCTACCTTAAGGTACGCAAAAGAGTCAACAGAGATTTTCTAGCTCCACGGTTGGAGGTAGGAGTGGGGTAATAATGACACTTGGTGTGCTTATGTGCTGTGTGTGTGTGTGTGTGTGTGTGTGTGTGTGTGTGTGTGGTTTTAAGGCAGGCTCTGGGGATTGAACTCTGGTCCTTGTGCTTGCACAGCAAGCCCTTTACCAGCTGAGCCACTTCCTGGTCTCTGCACCACCCTCTTCAGAAGTCCCAAATAGCAGGAGCACAGGGCAACAGACTGCAGCTCTCTCCACAACCCCCACCCACTAGGAGACACAGAAGCGGCAGCCACCACGTCCCAGCCCAGAGCCTCCCTATGTAGAGCACGGCCAGCAGGAAAGATGAAGGGCTGGAGATTATTTCCCCAGGTCCCCGCCAGACCTAGAGGACAGAGTCCAGGTGGCGCAGGGTCGCAGGCAGGATCCACTCTGAGCCAGAGGCTTTATCACAGATGTTCACTCTTCCCCACACGACCTCACTACCTGGCCCTTACACACACACACACACACACACACACACACACACACACACACACACACAGAGTTCCAACTCCTCTCCCCAGGGTGGTGTTCATGAGCCAGACGGAGCGAAGTCTGATTGCAATGTACTTCTACATTTGGCTTTGAACTAAAAAGCAGCTTGAGGGAGCTGGAGGGGTGACTTGTTGCTTAAAGAGCGCTGGCCAGTCTTGCAGAAGTTCAACTCCTAGAACCCACATGATGGGAGTGTAAACCTCTGAATTCCAACTCCAGGGAATCCATTGCTCTCTTCTGGGCTCCTCGGGCACGGCACACACTTGCCGTACTTACACACAGGCAGGCAAAAACACTCATATACATAAAATAAAAAAGCAGCTGGGAAAGGCATCTCAAAACTGAGGTAGCCAGAGGGACACTGGAGGCATCTTCTGCAAAAGCCTTTAGATCCTCAGTGTCGCTGGCTACCTCCGCCGCTAAAGTCCCAGGGAAGCTGGGACTTGACAAAAGCCTCTCAAGTCATTTCGTGTGTGTCCTTACTGCTCAACCCTTCTGGTCCAGGACTGGACACCCTGACCCTGGTCATGGGGCACCACCAGGGAAAAGAGGGAGGAGTCCGGGTGAAACCACAGCCGTCACTCAAATCTCTGCCTCTGCTCTTGTGATGTAGGACACCGCGCTGCCTGTCTGACTTCACAGTGAGCTGGACTCGATCCTCCTGGAGTCACATGGACTTGCTGCTCTGGAGACACACTTGTAACCCCTGCAGGTATTCCGATTCCCTGCTCCGTGGAATGGTTGGTGGGGCCTCGCTGGGCAGTTTATATGAGCACGTGAGAGAGACCTTCAAGCCTGAGAAGAGTCTCCCAGCACGCCCTGGTCAGGGTAGAGTCAGTGGGGGTGGGGGGCAATTTTAGGACAGTAGGATTGACAGATGGGTATTTCTTGCTTGGAAGGAAGTGCCCTTGTGAGGGTCAAACCGCAGGCAGAGAGGGCGGTGGGAAAGGCCACAAAGACACAGTGTTAATGCGTCAGAGTGTGGAGACCCCGCCCCCTTAGCTGGTGGAAAATGCTGTGTGATTAGGACCAAAGAGGAGAGGCTGAGGTATGAGAGAGTCCAGGTCCTCACAGGGCACACGAGTCAAAACAGCGGACAGGGAAGGAGAGAGAGAAAGAGCAGGTAGCCAGGCAGGGTGCCCGGGGAAGCGGCTCCCAGGGAACACGGTACAGAGCAGCCGGCACCGGGACATCCCTGAGGCCCAACCCAGGTCCCAAACCAGCTGCCAGCCACTGGGGGCCGTGTGGGCAGATACAAGCAGGCAGTGGGCTGGAGTTGAGAAATTTCCTCACACCAGCAAGACTTCTCCAGTTCATCTGAAGAGGCAGGACAGTGCATTCAACCTTGGCCTGTGGTTTCTGGGTCTATGTGCTCGCCAGAGGGGCACAAGCCTCTCACCTGAGCACTCACTAGGCAAGTTAGGCACTTTTCCTGAGAAGCAGAGACACACCCCCCACACCCAACACCCCTGCTCCCCTGCCCCCCCCCCCCCCCCCCCCCCCCCCCCCCCCCCCCCCCCCCCCCCCCCCACCGCGTGTGCGGTAGCATGCCCATGTCTTTAGAAAGACTCAAGGGTGTGGACTGCAACTTCCCAGTTCCCCAAGGCTTGTATGGAGCCCATCCTTGACCTTAGAGACACCCAAGAACTGAGCAGGAACCTGAGCCTCTCTCCCCACATCACAGATTCACACCCCCTTTCACTTAGCTCATTCCCAGCAGCAGCTCGCTTCTCTGACATCACCTCTGCCCCACCCATCTTGAGCTCCAGGGGCTTCCTAGATAACCTGGAATCATCCCGGCATCTCCACTGGTCCACAGCTGCAGACTCCTGGGGTTACAACAGAATCATGCTGTTGTGACAATTTGCTTGGTGTCTCCACACTTGGATGAGTCTCTGGGACTAAGAGCTCGTCTTCTCATCGACATGGCCACCTGCAGGGTGAAAACCAACAGGTTGATGCCACCTTCTCAGTTTAGATGAGAAAAGACTAAAGCACAGGGACAGAGCACCTTGCTGCCTATGGGACAGCCACTGGCCACTTGTGTTAGCTGGGTTTGGTTCCCAGAATTCATATCACCTCAGAACTGCCTATGACTCCAATTCTGCAGAATCTAACATCTTTTGGCCTCTGAAATCACCTCTATATGTGGTGCATATAAACTCCAGGCACACACACACACACACACTTGAAAAATAAGTAAATTTTTAATTAAAAAAAAAATTACAACTTCAAGTCTACAATTTAAACTTTACTTCCCAATTGCAATGGTCCTATTTTAAAGACTCAGTAGTTAATATGCAGCTAGCAGATACCCCATCAGGGATCTCAAATAGTGACCTCCAGCAACACCTCCCAAAGAGCCTCAAAGCCTGCCAGTTGTCACCCATGGTATCTAGGTAAGGAGCCAAACCACCGTCTTGCCCATAGGTCGCTCTGAGCCTGACTTGTCTTTCACTTTCTGCCACCAGCTTGTTCCAGTCCCCAGAGTGCCTGGAACCCTTGCCTCTGAGATGCAAGTAAAGATAAGTACTAAGAATGTGACCAACTGTGTCACAAACACGTACTGGATACCCAGCAGGAGACATTACTGACTGGAACCAGAGTGTCCCCCCACCTCGCCTCCAAGCCATGTCCTCCTCACCAGCTTATCACCAGACACGGGTCTCTAGTAGCTTCTGGCATGTCAGAGACCAGGGAAAGTCAAGTTTACTCAAAGTCCTGGATTCCTCTGGTTTCTCTACGCTCAGAACTTACATTAGGAGAAGGCTCGTTCTCTCAGGAGCTCCCACGCGGCTCCTCGCTCTGGTTACACTCTGCTGATGCAGTCTGCCCAGCATGGGCACTGGTCTTCCATGGAGGCACCAAGGCTGGGCCACCTTGACCTTCAGAGCCATACCCCACAAGGCTGTCCAGATGTGTCCTCCATCCTCCTTGTCAATCTCCTGCCTTCGATCCTCGGCCCTGAGGCTGTCTATACCCCCTTGCCTTGGTCTCTGTCTCCCTGCTTAGCAACTGGCTCATTTGCCATCTACAAACAGCTTCCAGACACCCTGTTCTTTCTTCTGGCTGTGGGTAGGTCCTGCTCAACTGCTTCTGGGACCCACAACCCAAGGGGGCGGAGATCCGACTTGTTCTCCTTTTTTGGGCTGCCTCTGCGGCATCTGACTCCCCTTCCTATTGAGTGTGCATTCCGAGTGCCAAGCTGCAGAAACCGGCCACCTGCGAGTCAAGTATCTTCTCTTTTCCTTGCATGGAGTACCCACAAGAGAAAAGAGGTCCCTTTCTGTAGGTAATGCCTCCTCCACGTCAGACAGGATGTTTCTAATGGGCGCGTCCTTCCTTGAGTAAAGCCCTCAAAGGAGCCTGACTCCCTGCGCTTCCGGAGGCCCTTTCCCATCCATTGGGAAGGTGCTGCGGTCTTTCCCATGGATCCGCAAAGAGCGGGTACCAAGGATCTTCTTGCTGTTTGGTAGCAGAAAACAGACTAAGACCTTGTGGGAAGAACAGAATGAAAAAAAGAATGTGAAAGAAAACTAGTTGGGGAGAAAGAGACTTTGCAAGGCTTTCCCTAAATGTCCCTCCACGCTGGTCTATTTTCAGACCTATCCCGTTACTGTTTTGTTCACTCAAGAGCCCGAGTGAATCGGTTAAAAGCAGGCATGAAAGGAAATGCTCACAGAGAGACAAGTCAATGGAAGTGTCTAAAACGGGCTTGTGTTCAATTTCATAGACAGCCAAGGCAATGAAGCCTGCCACCCAGGGAGGCCAACTCACGCCTGTCACATGCTCAAGAACCCGGAAGGAGGGTCACTTCCGGTAGTGGAAGTCTGCTCTGTCAAGCGATTGGAGGCTTTGGGAGCCTTCCCTCCCCTTGCACAGTTTGACACATTTTATATGTATTAATGGTATTCTTTATGAATATGAGGTGCTGGGGTTATGGATGAGGGTTTCTCAGAGATAAAAACAGATGCAGGAACACAGCGTGTACCTGCTTCCTCCCTTCGAGTCCCACAGGCCACAGGCAGCAGTGACTACACAGCCATGACAGAGAAAACAGCCCCCCTCTACCCTCTACACCCCCCACCCCACGGTGGAAAAGCCTTCATCCTTTTGGGGAGGATCCGGATTCTCCTCCCAGCCTTTTGGAATATAAGACGCCTCTCTTCAAGAGCCCTAATTTGTCTCAGGCTTTTAGAACCAGAGAGAGGTCTCCAAGGTGTGGAATGTAATACCCAGGATGGTGGGGATGTGCCGTCCCTTGGTCCCCGCATCTTAAGAACTTCACCTGAGGTAACAGTATGGATTTTAACTACTTGATGGTCTTAGGACGTTAACTGAAAAGTTTTATTATCCTTATGGATCAAAGAAATTTAAAACACTGAATAGGGTGGAAAAAAAGGATCTGAGCTCTAGGGAAAGTCAAAGCAAACAGCCATCTGCTGGCCGTGCAGTGTCTGTGTCCTGGGACTACTAAGACACTCCAAGAGTCTTCTTTTTGCTGTTGTTGTTTTTTTCCTTTAACAAAATATAAAACAAAAACCATCACATTGAAGTTGGGGAGGACAAACAGAAGGAAAAGTGCTCAGGAGAAGGCACTAGAATCAGAGGCCCACGGGTTCCCACACTCGGGAATCCCATAAAAAATACTAAAGCGAAAGCTCGAATGTATACGCAGAGGACCTGGCTCAGACCCACGGCCTCTGCTAAGTTGCAGAGTCTGTATTTTGGGTTTCGCGGATGGAAATGCACGTTCTTACGATTTTTCTTGGGGAGGAAGAGACCCGGGAAAGTCAGCTCTGGCCACACAACTTTGACTCCAGAAATTCCACTTTGTGAAGTCAAAAGGAGTTGTCACAGGCTTCCCGTGACAGGTTGGCTGAGACTGACAGAGCCGAAAGCACAATGCAAGGAAGAAATGCAGCGGACGTCGCAGAGCCAGAGTGACAGGGAGATGAGGAGGGAGGTGCCCCACCCCACCCCACCCCGCGAAGACGGCACCCTTTTTTTTTTTCTCTCTGTGAGTTGTAAAGCTGGAAACAGAGGAAACGGCAACTTTGCTGACTTGTGTCAATGTTTGGTCAATGTTGGCAACTTTTCCTTTGAGAATGTGTCTGATCGTGGACCTGAGAGACCAGCTGTGACTGCAGACCTGAGCTCTTGGCTTACTACATGAAGTATGGTGCTCGTTGTTTTTAGATGATCCTTCTATATCCTGATCTGGAATACTTTTCATTGTCTACTTAAGTGAAAACTGGAAAACACAGCTCTTGCTCCAAAAGGAAGAAGAGAATTTGTTTTGAGCCAAATATGAACGGCCAAGGCCCAGAAACTCACATAGAGGTTATCTTAAATGTGCTCGTACTCTCCTCCATGGAAGAGGCTATATGAATGTTCATAATATAGAACAAAAGGTCAAATATTAATGCATTTAGTCACTCAAGAGAAAGGAAATCTCTTCAAAAGGACCCGGGTTTGGGTTTGGGGCTGGTGGGAGTTGGTCATTAATGGCTTTTAAATGGGACTGAAGTTAGCCGGAGATCCGTCTGACACCTGATCTACAACACCTCCGTCTCCTGGCCTGGGCTTCTGATTGGTCAATTGCTACAGAATCTTCTATGTGGATGTTCAGGGAACTGCAATTCCCAGCATGGGGAAACATATGGCAACATTGTCTTTGGCAGAATATGGACCAGAAGAGTATGCATGCCTAGCTCAGTATCAATGGAAATAGAAAATTCCGTGAGTCTGTGCTTAAGGAACAGACTGCATCCGCTCGTGGATGAGGACTGGGCTGTGATAAGAACAAATGGAAGTATTTTCTTAGGGGCTCAGATTTATTCACTCAGCAAATATATTGTCTACTCTGCGCCAGGCACTGAATTCTTCTCGAAGACTCGGTGCCGGACAGCAGCCTCCACCCCGTAGAAACTGCCCTCCAGTAGTAGGGCTGAGGCAGACAGAGATTACAGTCGGACAGAAACCGGTCCCAAAACGTCAGGGGGCAGAAACGCCTTGATGAAAAATTAAATCGGGTGTCCCAGAGATGGGGCTGCTATTTTGAATGGGGTGATGAGGGAAGGTTTCTCTCTAGGAGGTAATAACTGGGCTGAGACCCAAAGAAAGAGGGGTGCCAGGCAAGCGCTTTCGTGTCAAGCAGCATGTTGTGGTTCGTTTCCAGTCTGTCTCCAGGGACTCCGGTTCAGAGCACCCCAAGCCCAACCCTAGCACATTCTGGGTGATCTTCTAGTGTCAGAAGACACCTGGGTCCATAGCCTGCCCCTCCGGTCTCTCTGCATTCCAAAAATGTGTGTGTGTGTGTGTGTGTGTGTGTGTGTGTGTGTGTGTGTGTGTGTGTGTAAACAGATTGGTAAAGAAAAATGGATTTATTTACAGTTTGGAGAAAACAGGCAAAGGCTTTGCCTTTTCTCCTGCAGTGTCCTGTAGTGTTGTGTTGCCTTTCATGTGTGCATAAAGACATACATGTACAAGAAGTGTGCCACTCAGAGGACCCTACCAGGTGCAAGGTTCTGGTGCCCGGCTCTCTCTTTCCAGGGACATCCCGGAGAAGTCCCAATTCCTGTTGGTTTCCTCGGGACTTGGGGGTACCGCGTTCTACCAGCACAGAGCAGAGGTGTGGCTATCATCTGCCCTCTCTCCCCTGGAAACACACCAGGTGCTGTTGATTACACGAACCAGCACCGTTCCGGAGAGAGTAAGATGTGAGAGCGGAGAGTACGCCCTCTGGAGAGGCATATTCCAGGCTCAGCTCCTGCTTTCCTATTAGGTAACCTTGACCCTGACTCCTCAGTAACGTTTATCTCTAAAACAAGGAGTGATTTCAACTGCCCCCACAGAAACAATGCTTTTAAAGACTTCATCAGTGTCTGGTGTAGGGGAAGTGTAAATCTGTAGCTTACTGTTGTTACTGCTACTAACTTGAGCGAGTCAGCTCTTGTGGAACTTGGAGAATTCTTGTCCTCCAACTGGATTGAGTACAGTTGACAAATAAAGCTTTCCTGTATTTAAGAGTGTGATGTTTTGAGATATGCACTGTGAAGTGATTACTGAAATTAAGCCCATTCGTATCAGAAGAACCACAGCTTACCTTGTGTGTGATGTGTGGGGGGGGGGGCGGGGTTGGGGGAATAACATCTAAGATTATCATCTTAGTATGTTTCTAGTGTCCAGTAATTGTCACTGGCTGTAGTCACTCTTGTTATGCTATCAAGAATCCAAAATTAATTCCTCTTGTGGCTGATACTTGTTCCCTGTGACCAAGATCTCTCCATTTCTCACACACCCTGATTGCTGGACGGTCTGTAACCTTCTTCTGTGTGTTTCTATGAGCTGAGACAGACCAACTAATTTTTTTTAAGATGTTCTATTGTGCAGTGTTCACCAGAGAAGACTGCTCAGAGATGGATTTAAGCCAATAGAAAGTCTTTATTAGCCAGCCAGCAACTACATTGAGTATTTGGGACCCCAGTGTAGACCCAAGACTTTCTCAGAATGAGCTTTTAAGCACAAAAACCATGTTCTGGGTTGACATACTTCAGTTAACAGGAACTGTTAGCCAGAAGTGGAACTACCGAAGCTAAAAGGCAAGATTAGTACATTTTGAGATTTTCTCAGAACTATTAGCTTTGATGGGTTGGATTTTTGTTTTCGTTTTGGCTGGTGATGCTGTCTACATGCTGTGTTTACAGCCTGAATGGCACTTCCATCCCGGAGTCAGTTGTGCCAAGGCCTGGGGCCCTGTTACAGTTCATTCCAGATCATGATTCTGGACGTCCAAGGTTGAGGGCCTGTGCCTTCTCACTAGCAGAGTCCCTAGACTGTGGGGAGGCCACATGACAAGCAGAGGGCATGGTTTCACTTAATAAAGAACCAGATTCCATCATGGGGTTTCATCCTTAGGAATTTAAACCACCTTTACCATTCTCAAAGGCCCTGCCCTCAGACGCTGTACTTGGGTTGAGTTTCGACCCTCTCAACACCTCACAGTGGTAGCTTAGTTTCAACACACAAAGCCTCCAGAGATGCCCAAACTATATGAAAGCCATATCCCCATCCAATTAATTGTGAATGTTACTGTGCTTGAGCAAGGTCAAGAGTTTCCAGATTCTTGGGCTCCTGTTGGAACTGAAATAAAAGCTCACACAGATCTACAAAAGTAGCCAGGAAATTTTATTTAAAGCAACAGAAATGAGTGCACTACAAGGGCATAACAGACCACACTTGTGAAGATGCTTAGGGGCTCAGATTATTGTTTGGGGCTCCTTTTATGGGATTCAGGAGGCTTAGGGGTGTAACATGAGTGGGTTATCTTTCTATTGATGGAGGTCATATAATTTATGGCACATGTCCCTTCCCACAATGCATCTGAATGTCCTTGGTCAGGTTGGTTTGGTATAGATTGAGATTTAGGCTGGGGTTTTGTTTGTGACAGTGTCTCACTGTGTAACTTTGGCTGGCCTGGAACTTAGTATGTAGACCAGGGTGGCCTCAAACATGAAGTGATTCTCCTGCCTCCACATGCCCAGTTACTCATGGGCATAAGATGGTAAATAGGGACTTCTCCCTAAAAGCTTATTTGGAGACATGGTTTTTCCTTACTGCACATGCATTCAAAATCAGTCCAGGCTAGACTGACCTTTCTACTCTCCATACCCAGATACATTGGGAATATATTTGAATGTAAGTTTGGCAGTGGTGAGAAAAGGAGAAATATCCCATTGTCTAGATAAAGGAGCACTACAGGTATAGCCCAATGCAGGGAGGGGTCCAGTGTCGTCTACTGCACTGGGGTGAGATGCACTTACATTCAGGTAAAGGGACTGGAATGCCAAGTGCATTAAGAACAGGGAAGGGGGATAGCCCAAGACAAGTGGAGTCCCAGGATACAAAGAAATTCCCTATGCTTGCCTGCCTCATTTGGATTTGTGCTTCCCCGGTGATTAGTGATGCTGAATGAGCACCAGATCATCTTCCTTAGAAAAAACACGTCTAGTCAGCTCTTTTAATTCATTTTTATCGGGCTACTTAGGGACTTCATTTACATTTTTTTATTCTTCAGGTAGTGTCTCCTGTAGTCTAGTTTGGACTCAACGTGCTCTGTGCAGTCAGGGATGATCTTGAACTCTTGATCCTCCTGCCTCTGCTTCCCAAGTATTGGGGTTCCAGGTGTACAGGATACTTACTAAGCAAACCATATGCAAATGTTCCTCCCATTCCACAGTGTGTTTCTGTTTCCTTTCTTGGGCAAACTTTTTCCCCTTAGACCTATCATTTCTTTGTTGCTTGTCATGTTGGTGTCAAATCCCAAACCCCTTGAAAGGCCAATGTCCCAGCCCTTTCCCTGTCTTCTTCCAGCAGTACACTTCTGGATTCAAGTTTTATGTTCACTTAATTCATTCTGAGTATCGGTTGTTGATGCCAGCGTGTGTGCATGCACGAGTGTGTGTGTGTGTGTGTGTGTGTGTGTGTGTGTATGCGCGCGCGCGCGTGCGCGCACGCCTATGTAGTTAGCATGAGACAGGGTCTGTATGCATGCTGATAATTTTTCCCTTGTCATTTAACAAATTTTTCCCTATTTGTGTATTTATGACTCATTAGTTAATTAGTTGACCCATATCTGTGTAGATTTATTTCTGAACTTTCTGTTCTATTTGACTAGCCTCTGTTATCTGCTTTTGTGTTTTTACTATTTTAAAAGTTTAAAATAATAAAATATTTGAAGACAAAAAACTCATAAGGAATGTATGCTATGCAGCTTTTTTCTCATTTTAGTATATTTCTATTTTTTTCATACAGCATATATTTATTATATTCTTCTCCCAACATCTCCCAGATCATCTCCACTTCTCTACCCATCTATCTTAGTTACTGTTCTAATGCTGTGAAGGAAAAAATAACTAAGACAACTCTCACGAAAGAAACCATTTAACTGAGGGGCTTGCTTACAGTTTCAGAGGCTTGGTCCATGATCACCACTGTGGGAGGCAGACAGGTATGGTGCTGGAGTAGTCGCTGAGAGCTTTATATACCGATGGCAACAGCAGGCAGAGAGACATGGGACATGGCATGGGCTTTTGAAACCTCAAAGCCTCTTCCACCCAGTGACACCTCCAACAAGGCCACACTTCCTAACCCTTCCCAAAAAATTTCACTAACAGGAAACCAAGCATCCAAACACATGAATCTATGGGGCCATATTGGTGAAACTATTAAGGCCACTCCACGTAGTTAAAAGAGAGGTTTATATTTGGGGTAACAAGTGAAGGGAGAGGCTACAGTGTAACTAGAGTTTTCCTGCCTGGCCCACAGTCAGGACAAATCTTTGTCACCCGCCAGTCCCACAGCCGCTCAGACCCAACCAAGTAAACACAGAGACTTATATTGCTTACAAACTGTATGGCCATGGCAGGCTTCTTGCTAACTGTTCTTATAGCTTAAATTAATCCATTTCCATAAATCTATACCTTGCCATGTGGCTTGTGGCTTACTGGCATCTTCACATGCTTCTTGTCATGGCAGCAGCTGGCAGCGTCTCCCTCTGCCTTCCTGTTCTTTCTTTTCTCCTCTGTTAGTCCCACCTATACTTCCTGCCTAGCCACTGGCCAATCAGTGTTTTATTTATTGACCAATCAGAGCAATTTGACATACAGACCATCCCACAGCACTACAGGGTCTGGGAAAGGTGTGGCGCAGTCCAGCGGTGTTCTCGGGAGAACTTTGCTTGGTCTACCTCCAGCGTCCAGCGTCCAGGAACCAAGAGAGCCCACACATTCGGATCTCAGGTCTTCAGCGTCCTCTCTCAGCCCCGCCTTGTAGGCGTAACAGTTACCAAAGCCTCAATGGGGGTTGGAACTTCCAGGTCAAAGCTGGAATGGCTACCCACTACAGGGCCATTCTCATTCAAACTACCACACCACCCAACTTCATGTTTCAAAAGAATGGAAGAACGAAAAAAAGGCTGGCATTGAACTCATAGAGAGCTGCCTACTTCTGCTTCCCACGTGTTGTGGAAATTACTTTAACTATGTAAAGATGTGTTACATTTGTTTATGCTGTGGAATATTCTTTTTTTTTTTTTTTTTTTTTTGTCACTCTGACGAGACAGGGTTTCTCTGTGTAGCTTTGAAGCCTTTCCTGGAACTCATCCTGTAGCCCAGGCTGGCCTCGAACTCACAGAGATCCGCCTGCCTCTGCCTCCCATGTGCTGGGATTAAAGGTGTGCGCCACCACCACACGGCATGAATATTACTTTAACTGTGTAAAAGTGGGTTACATTTGTTTATGCTGCCTTTGTTAATGAGGTAAAGATGTGTTGGTGGCTCACCTTGCCTGCCTAAGGCACCTGATTGGTCTAATAAAGAGCTGAACGGCCAATAGCTAGGCAGAGAAAGGATAGGCAGAGCTGGCAGGTGGAGAGAATGAGGAGAAATCTAGGCTTGAGAGAAGAAAGAGAAAAGAACGAGGGAGAAAGAGACACACCCAGGGCCAGACGCCAGGCAGCTGCTGGCCAGCCAGACACAAGAAGCAGCATAGTAGGACAGACAAACAGGTAAAAAGCCACAAGGCAGAACACAGATGAAGAGAAGCAAGTTAAGTTATAAGAGCTAGCAAGAAACAACCCTAAGCTAAGGCCAAGCATTCATAACTAGTCAGTGTCCATGTCATGATTTGGGAGCTGGTTGGTGGTCTGAAAGAAAAAGCCTGGTACATTTGGTGTTCCAACGTTGGGCCCATATTTCCACATAGGGCCTGAGATAGCTGGGGGGTGGAGGGGAGAGCCTGACGCTGAGTAGAAACAAGAAGCTAAGTACAAATGCCTACCATAGGGAAGGGTACCAGCTTCCCAGAGCTGGGGCGCTTGAATGCAGTTCCCAGTCCAACAGCTGGGGATGGTGGGCTTAGGCTTGGCTTTCACAGATCCAAGAAGGGGGGCAGGGACAGCCACCAGAGCTGCCAGCAGAGGGCCGAGCCACCACCACTTAGCAGTTTGAAAGAAAAAAGAAAAAGGG